GGGGGCTCCGGGCGGCCGACCTGAAGGAAGCACAGTCCGTGGGGACACGGGAGCTCCAGGGGGGTGCCGGCAGCCTCTTCCCCACCAAGGGTCGCGTTTGTCTGGGACAAAGCCACAGAGGGAACGTGTCCCCTCCCCAGGCCCGGCTGGGTCTCAGCGGTTCTCCTTCTGCAGGTGAGGGGGGGACCGTCATGGTCCCCCTGGCTGAGGGGCGTGCCCACGGGACTGGAGGACGGGGCCCAGCCGGTCTGCTGCTGGCTGCGTGGCCCCGGGCGTGCCCCTCCGCCTGCTGCCAGACTCAGCTTCCCCAGCCCAGCGGGGGAAGGGACGGCATCCTCCGCACATTGCTCGGATGGCTGTGGGGTTACTTCAGACCATTTCATTTTACAAACGGTGAAATGGTGAGGCACGTGTGTGAGTGACTTTGAAGAAGCGAGGCTAAGAGGCATGGGAGACCCAGCTGACGGAAGGGTTTAACAGGACAGCCAGCGAGTGAGGGGACAGGCCCCTGGGACTCAGGACGGCACTGCCCATGGAGGGGGGAGGTGGAACGGGGCGGGGGGCAGCGCTTTGCTGGCCCTTCCACTCGCGTCTGCCCCGTCTACCCTCGCTCAGGCCCGGCACCTGCAGCGCAGGTGTGACTCACGCTCGGGGACCCGCCCGGCCTCCGCGCGCCCGCTGCCCCCGCCCCGGCCTTCCGGACCCGGCCTTGCTCACGGTGCCTGTGCCTCATGCCCCCTCCCACGCTCCCTCGCCACGGACAGCAGAGGCCGCGACACGGCGGCCCCAGTTCTGCAGGCGGCCGCCCCAGGGTCCCTGCGCTGCCTGGGCAGCAGCTCTGGTCAGCACAAGGTCACGGCGACGGCCACTTCCAGCTCTGGCATCCAGAGGGGGCGCGCACGTCTCGGGCTCAGCGGTGGCTCCTTTCCCTCGGTGACGAGCTGACATCGCAGGCCTTGCCCACACTCGCCCTCCTTCCTGTCTATGTTGGCTCCCTGAGCAGAGCAATTCATTAAATGCCATTTGCCTATAAATTCTGAAATCGGTGTTTTTCACTTAGAGAGGAACCACCGATGGTCTTGGGGGCAGATCGCTGAGACCCGGTGGGCAAAGGGGGCTCTGGTCCAAACGCAGGTGTAGCAAGGAGTCCAGCCGCTACTCAGAGCCACGGACAGGCAGCAGGTCATCGCTGCACGGGGGCGGGGGGGGGGCAGCCGGGACTCCTCGTCCTCTCCCATGAGCCTTCTGGGGTCCCGTGAGAAGGCGGAGCCGTTTATGCAACTTAATGGGGCTTGAGGCCTCAGCTCATTGTACATAATTATTATTGCATAGCTCAGATGCCTTCATTTTAGGTCACTTTTCTGCTGAAGAAACTCTCTCGATCTGTGAAAAGTATTTATTCTGAGTAGACCACCTCTCACCGGTGATGGGTCCAAATTCAGATCAGGGAGGTAGCAGTCTATGGAGCCGTGGTTCTCAAGGTGGGGCCCCCTGAGGACCCGTGGAAATGCACATCCTCAGGCTCCACCCCTGGCCTACTGACCCCAGAACTCAGCCTGGAGCCAAGGACGACAAGGGGTGATTCTGACACCTCTCGGGCTGACTTCGCATACGGCGTCCTAATGTATATACTGTATCCCTCCCAGCTGCGCGTCCCATGCAGTTAAAACTATGCTTGCGGCCCTAGGGAGACAGAGGATGCGCCCACGCAGGAGGCCTGTGTGGCTGCCCGAGGGACAGCGCGCCCCGTTCCCGTTTGAGCCATGTCTCTGCCCGAGGGACAGCGCGCCCCGTTCCCGTTTGAGCCATGTCTCCGCTAACAGGCTCGCTTGCACGAGGACCGCACTCGTCCCTCTCGCTGGAAAAGATCTTTGCAACGTGCTTTTAGAAATAACACCCCCACACCCTGGCCCGGCGGCTCGGTTGGCCGGAGCATCGGCCTGGACACCACAAGGTTTTGGGTTCGGGCCCCGGTGGGGACGGAACGGGAGGCATCTGATCCAGGTTCCCTCTCACACGGATGTTTCTCTCTCTCTCTCTTCCTTCCTCTCTCTCTCAAAACAATAAACATTTCTTTGGATGAGAATTTAAAAAAAAAATAACAAAAATTAATGACCAAATAGGAGTATAGAATCAGGTAACGGATACTGATACCAGGATGCCATTTCTTAAAGAGTTTCCGATGAAGCAGGAGACGGCTGAAATCATCCCCCCTACATGGCCTGAATAAGCAAACACTGAATTTTTAGTACTGGATAATAAGGCAAAAGTCTTTTAGCCCAGGCGCCCTCATTTTCATATAAAGTAGCCATGTCCTTGAAAATAGCCCTTGTCTTCTCTTTCAGGACATGGGTGTTGGTAACAGTTGCATAGAAATAAGGCTCCAAACAAACGTCTTATCTTTATATGGAAGGAAGTTCATGAAGAAGGAATTGACGTTCTTCCCCAACAGTGACGACAATACATTTTGGGTTCCTTTCCCAGAAATTAGTAAATAACAAAATAGCGTTCATTTAAAAAAGAAAAAACAAACAAACACGTTCATAGCAAATGCTTAAATCTAATCCATATGCCATTCATACGCTTGAAGAAGAAGGTGGTTCCATGAGCCAGTTTCTCTGCTCCTTCTGTGCCAAACAAAACAGATTTCAGCGAAGGGCTCTCGCTGCCTGAGACGGCGCTCGGCTCTGCCCCCTGCCCCGGGCGGGGGCGCGATTTGTTTGTCACCCAGGATTCTCGGTCCTCCACCTACTGTGCTTTTCCCGCTCGGGCAGGGCTCGCCTGCTGACTAAGCACCTTAGAATCCGGAAAAGATGGCGCCTTCTCTGGCCGCAGGAGGTGTTTCATGGGCCGCTGTGGTGTGACGTCTCCAGCCCACGAAAACGTGCTTCGTGGGCATGCGTGGCATCTCCCCAGGAAGTGGGGGCGCAGGGCCCTTCAAGAAGGCGCTGCAGCCTTATCTCCACCCTACAGGTCAGCCCGACGCCTCAGGAGGCCCGCCGAGCGGGCCCTGCTGCCCGGCCGCGCCGATCCTTGTGCCCGGGAGAACTCGGCTTCTCCACCAGCAGGAAGCCCGGTCCTATCCTGGCCACGCCTGCCCGACGGAGGATGAGTTGCAAAATAAAAAGCGTGCGCATCTTTTAGGGTGTCACATTCCGAGCCACGAAAGGAGTCGTCACTCACTGTCAGAAGGTGTCCTCCCCCAGAAAGGGGAGGGATTGACTTCAAGTCAGGTTTCCTTCAGGCCTTGGCAGGAGGCGGAGGGCGGCCAGCACACACGGTTCTTCCCGTCCTCAGGCAAAGGCCGCCCCGGGCGCGGCAGGCGGGTGTGAGAAAGGGGGCTCCCCAAACAAACGTGGTATCATGTGTTGCCACTTAATGCGCGCGCACTTCCGCCTGGCTGTGAATCGGAACGATGGGCCATCCCCATGACAGGGTGCGGCCTCCCTGTCCTCTCCAAGTCCAGGTTCCTCACGGTGCCCTGCCCGGGCCATTTTCCCAGGAAGCAATCCTGAGGGGGCTCCGGATTTCAAAGCCGAAGACGAAACGATGTTAACCAGCACGCCCAGGGCTGCAAGGACTAGAGGCACAAGGCTGCTTTCCCACCTCCCACAGCCGAAGCGGCGTGGCATCGTGCCTTCACTCCCAGAGAACGCTCAGGTGTTCATCCTAAACCCTCTCCTTGCCAAAGCCAAAGACTGGCAGGGTTAGCGTGCACACGGTGAAGTTCCGAGAGCTTGCTGGTTCATTTAAAGAGCGATATTTTTTCTGCTATGTCTCCTCAGGCAAGGGAAGCAGAAGAAAAATAAACAAATGCAATTACATCTAACTAAAAAGGTTTTGCACAGCGAAGGAAACCATCAACAAAACGAAGAGACAAGCTACTAAGTGGGAGAACATATTCGCCAATGATACCTCTGAGAAGGGGTTAATATCCAAAATTTATAAAGAATTCATATAACTCAACACCAAAGAAACAACAATCCAATTAAAAAATGGGCAAAGGACCTGAACAGACACTTCTCCAAAGAGGACATGCAGAGGGCCAACAGGCTTATGCAAAGATGCTCCATGTCACTGATATGAAGGAACTGCACATTGAAATCGCAGCGAGGTGTCACCTCACACCTGTTGGGATGGCCAGGATCAATCAATCAACAAACAGCCAGTGTGGGCGAGGAGGCAGAGAGAGGGAGCCCTCGTGCCCCGTGGGTGGGAGGGCACCTGGCGCAGCCGCAGCGGAGAGCAGTGCGGAGACCCCTCAAAGAATTAAAAAGGGAACTGCCTTATGGCCCAGTGATTCTGCCTCCGGGAATATATCCCAAGAAATCTGAACTACTGATGCAAAAGAACATATGCACCCGTGGTCCCTGCAGCATTATTTACAATGGCCAGGAGGCGGCAGCCACCGAGTGCCCACCAGCACATGCGGATAACATGCTGCGGCACATTGTCCAGCGGAACACCACTCGGCCATGAAAAGGCAGGGAAGTTTCACCCTTTGCGACAGCGTGGATGAACCCAGAGTGTATTACAATACAGGGGCTTAAGTTGGTTAGAGAAGAACACATGCTCTATGACTTCACTTATACGTGGAATCTACAGAACAAATAAATGAACGAACAGAACAGAAACAGCCTCCTAGACACAGAGAACAGACTGACGGTTGCTAGTGGGGAGCGGGGGGGAGGGGCCGAGAAGGACAGGCCAGGAGTCTCAAAACAGCCTCGGGGCCGCACAGCTCCGCAAGGGGCGCAACGTCAGCCCTGCTGTGGCACCTGGGCACGGGGCCAGGCGGGCGCTGGAAGTCTCGAGGCGACGCTATCGACAGGAAACGGTTGTCTAACCATGAGGCTGTGCATCCGAAACCAACACATGATAAAAAATGCATCATGAAAAGATCAGATATCCCTTGATGTTACAGGACAATTATGAAAGCCTCGATGTGCTTGTTAAAAAAAAAAAAAGCGCGCCCAGCCCCAGAGCTGCCCTTGGCTTACCTTCTCCGAGGCCTTGTCCTGCGCAGGCGGCCCCGACGCGGGCAGGGACGGAGGCGGCGGGGCCCGGCGCTTCTTCATGTCCGACCTGACAGACACCCCTGAGATGTTGCTCAGCGAGAGGGATGGGCCCAGCGTGACAGAGCGGGAGTTCACGGACGGGGAGCTGGGCGTCGTCAAGCAGCCCTGTTGGGGGAGAGGCAGACACAGCTCGTCACTGGGACACGCCTTCTCTCTGCGGAGGCTTGGCCCCCTCGTAGGGCAAGCCGTCCACCCCGCCCCTCCACGGGCAGGCCTGGCCAGCCTGGGCAAAACCCGCACTGTCCCCTCTCTGGGACAACCATCGTGGGCGCCGTCACCGGGAGGACGCCTGCTGTGTGACGCGGAAGCAGCCCACGTGCTCACCAGCAGACGAGCGGGGTAAAGAGGCTGTGGTGCATGCACACGGAGGACCGCTGCTGGGCCGCGAGAAAGGCCGGAATCGTAGCATCGGCAACCGCGCCGACGGCCCTAGAGGGCGTCCGGCTCGGCGACGTAAGTCAGAGAATGACGAGCACCGGGAACGGAACAGCAGATCTGCTGTTTTATTTTCTTCACCCTCAGCCAAGGGTCTGCTTACAGAGGGGAAGGGTGTGTGCCCAAGGGGCATTTGAAGAACCCACACCCACATTTCAAATGAAAAACAAGCCGGAGCCCAGCCCCGCCCGGCGCCCCTTGCCGCGGCTGTGCCCCGCCGGCCCCCGCAGCATGGTCCGCGAAGGTGGCCGTGTGCGCCGGCTCGGGCTTCCTTGTGACATGCTGGGCGGCCAAGGTGTCCGTTACCTTGTTCGTCAACTGCGAGGTCCCGAAGGACACTGGTGAGGATCTACAGGAAGCAGCCCGACACCCAGAAAATTCATCGGTGCCCGCTGAGGCTCCCGGGGAAGAGAGTAGAGAAAAAACCCCAAAGATTTCACAGCCCTCATGTTCGGCAGACGGCAGGCCCGCGACTGAGTGAACCACTCGTCGCCAAGTGAACTCTGTTAAATCCTTTGCCTTCTGCCCACCTCCATAGCAACCATGAGGGCCCAAGGAGGCAGATCTCGGGGTTCCTGAACACACCAGGGACCAGGGGAGGGGCAACCTGGGTGTGGAGCTGGGCAGGGGTTCCCCTGGATGGCTGGCTCCCTAGCCTCCCCACCCCCAAACACGAAGGGGTGTAGACACAAGCTGCAGAGGTTTGTGGAACGTGAGGGAGAAGCCCGTGGCACGCCAGCTGGCATCACGGGCTCGGAAGTCCGCGGGCCATTCGGGATCCCGTGAGCGCGCCGCTGACACGGAGCGCTCCCCTTCGCCAAACCCTGCCTGGACTCCGAACTCCCGGTTCTGCTGGCCCGCGACTCTGCGTGCCTGGCGGCCACTCTGCACCACCCAGGATTCCCCTCTGTCCTCTGAGTGCCCGAGCGGTTTCGGAAGGTCCGCGCGGGACGGCCTGTCGAAAGCATTTCGCAGGCTGCGTCTGGAGGCCAGGCTTTGACCCGGTAGAGCTCCCGCCTCCGCGGCTTCTGCCATCTTGGGCTGCCACGTCCTGGAGGGGAGCAGGTGGCCCGGTCCTCCTGGGCAGTCCCGCCAGGCACGCACGGCAGGGCCTGGCCGCAGGGACGTCTTATCTTGTCCCCGAGGAGGGAGGAGTCCAGCTCCATCCGCCAAAGCTGCCATCAGCACCTGACAGATTTCTGTCACGTTGGAGGTGTCCCATACAGGGAGCTTCCTTCTTTTCTGGTGAGAACGACCTCGCTAGGGCCACAGCGACGTGGCCTGAGGCCCAGAGCGCGCCCTGTCCCAGGCCCTTGTGACGTCCGGTACCCCCCACAGTGGGCTTCTCACTGCCCGTCAGCCACCCGTGTCCCTGGAACATGACTGAATGCCGCTCCAACGGGGGTTTTCAGCCCAAATCTGCTCTGAGCGGCCCATGGACGTCTCTGTCTGTCACCTCAAAGACGCAAGGATGCAGCATGATCCTGCCCCTACGGCTCCCACTGCCCATCCCGGTGACGCAGACGCTGTCCCGGGCCAGCCACGTGAGCCGGGCCACCAGGTCCACGCGATCTCCAGACGTGGCCGCTGAGGGACTCGGACGCGGGCGCGCTGCTGAAAGACTAAGGGGAATATCTGGGTTGCCCTAAAACAGCCACCAAGAATCCAGTCCGCACAGGTTCTCCAAAACTCAGTCCGATGCTTCTAGGATGGCGTGGGTTTAGAGGTTTCTTTTTTTACTCATAACACAGGTTTATTTCGTGAAAAGTTATTTTTGGCTTCCACCTCAATGAAGTCACTAAAATAATCATTTTCAAAGAGTTGTGTTCCACGGAAATGAACGGCGTGACAGGCTTTCGAATGGCTGCTGTCCCCAAGTGTGCGAAATGTAAATATATTATTATTAACAATGTAAATGACAGTAACTATAAAAAATAAAGCTGAAACGTTTTCACATGGGCTTTCTAAAAAGTTATTTTTCTCAATCCACATTATCGAAAACTAGAAGCATCTTCTAATTTTAGCGGATATGAAAGTTGTAACTCAGATTTCTCTTCCGCAGTGGGAGAGCTGGGGCCCCCAGTGGGGGCTGGGCGGCTCCTGGCGGCGGAATTAAACCCCGGTGGGCCCCAGTCCCAGGGCCGGGCCCTTCCCCTCCTTACGCCACGCTGCCCTCTGCTGAAAGAATTCAACACTTTTTTTTTTAATGGTTCGTCAAAGAACCAAGGGGGCAAAAGCCGAACACAAACTCAAAAGCCCTCAGCCCGGCAAACAGTAGTGGGGACAGGCCGCGGCGCCCTTGTTAACGGGACTGATGTCACTTCCGCAGCCACAGGAAGGGACTGGCAGGCTCAGCTTTTGCTCAGCCTGGGAGCCACAGCCACGTGCGGGGGCGGCCTTTCCGCCTGCGGCCGTCGCTTCCCACGGGTGTGCCTGTGCTGCGGTGACCTGCCGCGGGGGGCAGCCACCGCATCGTAGGATCTCAGGACAAAATATACTCCCCTTCCGAAGCCCTGAGTTTTCACGCACACGCTCTGCCACCACGTCACGGAGGCGTAAGCAGCATTGCAGGAAATGCTGGAGTGGACTACAGTATAAACGACCTGACCTCCAACACAACACGCAGAGGCGGGGAGAAGCACATCCCGGGGGGGCTGTCGGGGCAGCGCCAGGGGTCCCCGTAATCGCTGAGACAGAACTGAAGGCGATGGGACCGTGTGACGTCCGAGCGGAATAAAGTCCAGTTACTCTGCAGTGGCAGGCAGGGCTGCGGCTTGTGGAAGAGCGGCGGCCTCCCAGCCTGTCCACCCGGCGTTCGGACGGCACGTGGGCACCTCGGCAGCCCCCCGCCCCACCCCGCCCCGCCCCCAGTCTCAGGAGCCCCTCACGCCAGTTACATTTATGTTTATGGGGCACCTCTCCCCAGCGCACTTGCCAAACCAAAAGCAAGAGGAGACCACGGGCGATGACCCAGCCGTCAACCCTCCCGAGGTTCCCCGCTGGCCTCTTGCCGGGTGAAACCCATCGGCGGGGGGCGGGGGGGCACCTGTGCTTCCCACGGCCCGGCCTGGGTCTCCAGCGCCAGGGGGAGCAGGTTGAGGCGGGCGCGGTCCCCAAACCCAAGGCGGCTCTGCACACAGGCGCTGCAGGCCAGGTGTGCCGGTGCAGGTGTCTCCTGTCACCTTTGCCCTGACACCTGCCTGCGGCAGGTGGGGCGGCGGGCCGCTGGCGCTGGGCTCTGGGCGCCTGCCTGCAGTGGGACCTCTCGGGTGTCCCGGCGCGGCTGATCTGGGAGGGCCACCCCAGGAATCCTCAGGAACAGCCACCCTGGGACCGAACCCACCCCACCTCACCCCGCCCCACCCAGGGGCAGGCTGTGGAGAACTTCCTGTTTACCTGGGGTTAAAGACCACCTACCTCCCCCGCCTGCTGGGGCGTGACGCCTTCACAGGGGGCTTTTCTGCTGTCCTTTGTGGGGTGGGGCGTCCAGGCTGCCACAGGGGACTGCGGCCTTATCATCTAACCAGAGCTGTCTCCAGGGAGAAGCCGGCCGCCTTCCCTTAGCCCAGCACTGGCGTGAGACCGGAGTTCACCTAAGTCTTTAAGGGCTGGCGGTCTTCTTTCTTAATAACACATCGCTGCTGCCTCTGTTTCATTGCCGCCCATTAAACACTACGACTGATAATTACATATAGAGTGACAAGGTACGTAGCATATAAATTTTAAATTGCTAGAATAAGCGCAAGCATCCCCTCATATGCTTATGCCAAGACGTAAATGTAAAATTTTAAATTTAACTTGAATATTTACATTGAACCAAAACTAATTTATTCACATTAAGGAGCGTTTTATGAGTGAAGTGTTCCCTTCAGTGGTTTTATCACCACCCCTCCTCTTCGAGAGAGAAGCGCCCCGGTCCCAGCCCGGGGCTGGCCCAGCGCTGCCATCCGTCCCCGGCCCCGGCCATCCCTGTCCCTGACCTACGCGTAGGGCCAGCAGCTCAGGGAGGGGCGGCACTCACAGCCCCAAGCGTCTCCTGAATCGTGGAACCTCACCTCCTATTCTGAAACTCTCACTTCGCCCTCTACCAATGAGAGGTCATTCACAGCCTCCGCACAAACAGCTGGTGCTGGGCTCCTGGGCTGCGGGCGTCAACGTCGGTCACTTCCTTTTCCCTGCGCGGGGTCCGCCTTTGCTCTAACGCAATGTGTGTCTTCAGCGTGGGACACAGAGTATCATGAACACACTGAGCCGGACGCCACCTCTCACGGGCCCGCTGCTTTCCGCAGGCTCCCAGATGTCCTCCTCGGGTTCTGTGCGCTCGGGGCTGGGGATCCAGGCAGCAGGCGTGAAACCAATAATAATGACAAGGGAATAAAACGGCTCTTGCCCTGGACGTGGTTGGGGGCGGGAGATGGGCACAGCTGAATCCCCTCAGAGGGTGGGAAAGAGCAGGCGAGAAAAACTCACTCTGGAGTCGCCAAACGCACGGTATTTGGAAAACGAAGGGTCGCCGGCTTTAGTTGGTAATAAAAGGACTGCGCGGTGCACGTCGAGTTTTGGGTCAGTTGCTGCAGATCTTGACCCCGTGCCCCACACACCGAGGATGCTCAGAAGCGGCACCCGGTGAGGCGCGTGCCGGAGCGGCTCCACCGGCGGGTGTCTGACCC